GGTACATGTTGAGGATCTCCAAAAAGGCCTTGTACACGCGCTCGTCGTTCGCAAACCGCATCTGAAGACGCAGGCAGCGGGGCGCGGGTGGCGGCGGGGCGCGCAGCAGGCGGTGAGGGGGGCGGTGAGGGGGGGCGGCGGGGGGGCGCGCAGCCACCGCGCGCAGCCAGCCGCCGTCCGGCGGCAGAATGCAACGCCCCGCCGCCGAAACGCAACGCAACGCAACACGTCAGTACGGTGCGGCGGCGGCGCGCCCCCCGGGGCTGGAAGCGGCAGCCGCGACCCCCCCAAAACAGCAGGCCCCTGCTGCAGGAGATCTGCCTGGGGCTGATGACCACACGGCTGCCCGCCAAGGGGCGCAAACAGTCTGGGCTCCAGCACAGGGGTGGGCGCCTCACCTTGATCTTGTTGACGTAGCTGATGGCCTGGTCAAACTCCACCGGCGGCTTGGGGGCGGCGACCGGCACACGCATCGACTGCGCACATGGAAGGGACAGGAACAGCAACTGGTTTGGTGGTCGGCTGCTGCATGCACCCCGCGTGTGCCGGGGTCAACGCGCGGCGCCGCCATGCACGCACCGGCGGCTCCCAGGAGCGTACGCTGGGGGGCACGTCATCCAGGCGGATCTCGTAGCCCTGCGTGGCATCCAGGCCAGGGTGGAGGGCATCAGCTGCAGGCGGTCTGAGGCCTGCTCGCAGGCGTTTGCCGCCGCCGCCGCCTGGCGCCGCCGCCGCCTGGCGACGCCGCCGCCTTGCGGCCAACAGCCGGCCAGCCACGCCTGCGCCTCACCTTGGGGAGGAAGGTGTTGAAGCCCAGAATAAGCTCTGGGTGGCCCTTGAACAGGTCCTTGACCTTCTCAATCACGCCCGTGGTGTCAATCCTGCGGCGCGCGCGAAAACAAAAAACCTCGCGGACAGGGGGGGTACCACGGCCGGCCCGCCCCGCCCGCAACCCGCAGGGCAGCCTCCGCAGGCCTGATCGTTGACCCCAAAGCACGCCGGAGCCCCAGGGAGCTGCCCCGCATCGGCCGGGCACATGACGGCGGCTGAACTCACGACTGCGCCTTGAACTGCTTCATGATCTCCAGGAAGCTGCGGGGGCAGGGATTCGGGGTGCCGGGCAGGGCGTGGGTGGGGCTGAAGCTCTGCCGGCGCACCCCTCACCCACCCGCGCGCGGCGTGGACCGGCGCGGCACCACGCCGGCCTGCAGCCCCACCCAGGCCCTTGCAGGCCCCCCAACGGCCAGCCAGGGAGCTTGGCCAGGCCTGGCCCCCCCCCACAGGGCTCCCAGGCTGCGCAGGGAGCGCCGTGGCCAGGGCTCACCTGTCGTAGACCTTCCGGTTATTGGCGAAGCGGGTCTTGACCTCGCGCAGGTAGGAGAGGGCGTCATTGGTGGTCAGCCTCTCTCTGCGTTCCTCCTCCCTGCACCCAGGCAGGCCCAGGGCAGCAGGGGCTGTGGGCTCCCGCCACGCTGGGGGCGCCTGGGGCTTTTGAGGCAGCCCCCCGCCTCCCCGGTTTCGCCGCGCCCCAGACCTCCCTGTGGAGGGCCCCTGAGGAGGTGAGGGGCGGGGCTGCCCCTGCAGCTGCCGCAATCAGCTGCCAACATGCTGCCACAACTGCTGGGGGGTGCCTCAAAGTACGGCGTTCGATGGGACCGGCTGCAACCCTCACCCGGCAGCAGGCTTCTTGGCTTGCGGCCCTGCAACGCCGGGAGCGTCGTCTCTCGACCGCATCATCGCGCCAAGCCCTGCTGGTCAAGAGAGGACCCAGAGGCAGCCCTGAAAGGCTGATGACGCTGGGTGGGGGCGCAGGGCGGTGGGGAAGGTCGGGCTGATCTGTGGTTGGGCCCCTGAGAGCGGCTGGAATTTTTTCGGTCGCCACGTCATTTGTCCCCAGCACCACAGCGTCCCCCCCGTTTCCCGGTGCCGTTGATCACGCTGCACAAACACGAGGCAAGCCGAGCAGGGCAGGGTAGCACCGGGGCAGAGGCACTTGACTCGCAGGGCGCGGTACAAGGGGCAGCGATCGGAGGTTCTTCCGGCTTCCCGACACAAGCAGAGGCCCTGCAGCGCGGAGCCCACGGGCCTGGTGCACAATGGTGCGGAAATAGGCGGCCAGTCTGGCTCTCGCCTTCCTGCCGCTTCCCCGGGCTCTCCTTAACCGTGGCACCGCCCCCATGATGCTGCAGGCGGAGTTTGCGGAGCTGGAGGAGATCGATGGAGGTGCGTGCCAACGGGCCTGCACCTGCCGCCGCCCCCCGCCGCTGGCAGCGACGCAGCTGGCTGTTGGCTGGGCCTGCGTGCAGCGCAGCTGCGGTGGCAGCCTGTGTGCAGCTTGGAAGCTGGTGGCGGCGGCCATTGAGGCTGGTTGCCAACAAGAGCAGGAGGGGCAGCAAGCAGCCAGATGACCAGCCACCGCCATCGGTCGCCGCTGCTGCCTTCTGGGGCTCAAGTGCCTGCTTGTCGCATTTCTCGCCTTGCTGCTTCTGCCGCAGTGCGCATGACGTGGAATGTGTGGCCACACAGCCGGCTGGAGGCCGCCAAGTGCGTCATCCCCTTTTGCACGCTCTACTCGCCAGCGCGGCAGACCTCGCAGCTGCAGGTGGGGCAGGAGGCGGGTGGCATGCATGCTGGCAGCTGCTGCTCCGATCTGCTGCTGCTGCTGCTCTGATCTGCCGCTGTGCATCTTGCGGCGCACCTTTCGGGCATCTGCCTGCTGCTGCTGGGATAGCGTGGGCAGCTGCCAGCGCGCGTGTCGCCCCTGTGCCGCTGCCCCCAGCTCCCTTGTGCTGCTCGCTGGTTGGCTCACCCCGGCACTGCCCTGCTGGCCAGGTTGTGGAGTACGACCCTGTGACCTGCAAGACGTGCGGGTCGGTGCTCAACCCGTATGCGTCGGTCGACTTTGCGGCCAAGATCTGGACCTGCCCCTTCTGCCACACGCGCAACCACTTCCCGCCGCACTATGCCGGTGGGTGGGTGGGCGGGTGGGGCAGAAGGAGGAGGGCGGAAGGGGAGAGGGCCCGCGGGGGCGTGCTTGTGGCGCAGCTCCTGCTCCTGCTCCTGCTCCTGCTCCTGCTCCTCTGTGGTGCCTGCCGCGTGGCTCCCGGCCCCGTGCTGCCTGCGTGCCTGCTGCCCTCCCCGCCGCGCCACCACCTGGCCGCCGACATGCCGCCCGCTGGCGCCGCCCCTGTCGCCTGCGCCGCCGCAGGCATCAGCGAGGCCAGCGTACCGGCGGAGCTGTTCCCTCAGTACTGCACCATCGAGTACAGCCTGCCCCGCCTGGGCGCGCAGTCGCCCCCCGCGTACGTCTTTGTCATCGACACGTGCGTGCCCGAGGACGAGCTGGTGGCGGCCAAAACCGCGGTGCAGCAGGCGCTGACCATGGTGCCGGAGTATGCGCAGGTGCGGGGCGGCGGCGGGCCGGGTGTGTGACAATGGTGGGAATCAGGGCAGGCAAGAAGCGGTGGGCAGGGTTGGCAGCCATGGTGGGCTGTGCGAGCCGTGGGCGCCTGCCTGCCTGCCGGCCGGCCGGCCGGCCCGCTTTGCCGCCTGCCCGCTGACCTGGCCCACCTGCTGCCCGCCCGCACCCGCAGGTCGGGCTGGTGACCTTTGGCACGCACGTGCATGTGCACGAGCTGGGTTTCAGCGAGTGCCCCAAGGCGTACGTCTTCCGCGGCACAAAGGACTACTCGGCGGGGCAAGTGCAGGTGCGGCGCGGTGCTGGGGATGGCCAGGCATGTGTGGGCGGCTCTGGGGCTGGGCTGTGTGCATGCATGCGCCTGCGCGGGCGAGCACTGTTGGTGGGCTGCGTCATCAGCTGGCTGGCGCCTGGGTTGGCCAGGACCTTGCATGCCATGCGGTGCTGGCTGACTTGCACCTGCGCGGCGGCCTGCCCGCGCGCCCCGCCCGCCTGCAGGAGCAGCTCGGCCTGCACAGCCAGGCGGCGCAGCGGCGGGGCGCGGGGCCGCCCTCGCCGCTCAAGCAGGGCGGCGCGGGCGGCGCGGTGCCCGGCTCCCGCCCCGGCAACCGCTTCATCCTGCCGCTGTCGGACTGCGAGTTTGCGGTGAACCAGGCCCTGGAGGAGCTGCAGCGGGATGCCTTCCCGGCGGTGGCAGCCAGCCGCCCGTCGCGCGCGCTGGGCACGGCGGTGGCGGTGGCGGCGGCGCTCATGGGCGGCTGCCTGCCGGCGGGCAGCGGCGCGGGCCGCCTCATGCTGCTGGTGGGCGGGCCGTGCACAGAGGGCAGCGGCAAGGTGGTGGACAAGGAGCTGACGGAGCCCATCAGGTGGGGGGGAGGTGTGG